GTCACACGTCTGTATCGAAGACTCCTGTGCTACCGACTGGGGGCATCAATAAGTCAGCTATTCTCGGACTCCAAGTAGCTGATCTGAACGCCGAGGTGACGCCCAACTATGACAAGCTGCGATCTAAATGGACCACTCTCTCAACTAAGTTGGTATCGCTTATTAAAGATATTAAGGACATCCCGCCTGTCACTGCGACGGAGGCCGTAAAGTTGTTGCGCCACCAAGGAATAAATATTCCATTTCCACAGCCACAGCCGTCAAAAGATACAAACTACAAGTTCAGCTTTGTTGCTCCTAGGCAGGTTCTGGTTGGTGGCGCGTTACCATGGAGTCTGAGCCTGAAGGACGAGAACGCCGTGGAGATCACAGCGATTATGCCTGATGGTATCTTACAGGAGAAGGATTATCTCAACTACCGGGCATGCCACAAGGGTGCATTTTACCTCGCTTGCATTGCGTCGGCTATCAAGAAGAGTGAAGAAGTTGACTTCGATATCTCCTTTGCACACAAGCATGATGTCGATCTTTTACCCGTCATTGACCTTGTTGCCAAGGACAGGAAACCATCCAAATTCAAGTTCCAGATTGCTGTGGGTTTCAATGACCCTTCGATACCCATAGCAAAGACGCTGCCTTCGAAGAACTGTCTCAGACAAGAAATACCGGGCAGTCAAGAACAAAATGGCCAGTCATCTCCATTCTACAACAGTGCAATACGGTACGCTGCATCTGTTCCACACTTTGACCAAATCATCCAACCGACAAGGAGCTCGTCTTTTGATGAAGCTTGCCGGATTGGCCAACTCTGGCTTCGACAACGAGGTTTTTCCAGTTCCGCTCGGACAGGCGGATTCGGTTTCCTGGAATGGACCATAATATGCGCACTCCTGACGCGCACCGGCGGTCACCGCGGTCATCCACTGTTCTCGAAACAGTACAGCAGCATACAGTTTTTCAAGGCTATGCTCCAGATACTCGGCGGACGAGATCTGCAGGAACCGATGCTTCTCAACGGTGCTAATTTGGAATTTTCGCGCTCGGACGTACCAGTCATCTACGATGGGGAGACAGGTGTCAACATCCTCTACAAGATGTCTCCTTGGTCGTATGAATTACTTCGCCATCACGCTCAAGTCTCCTTGTCGGCACTCAATTCTCGCAATCAGAACGGGTTTGATGCAACCTTTGTGCTGAACGTCGCCGTGCCCTTGCTGCAGTACGACGACATATATTCTGTCACAGTATCTGCAGATCTAGTCAGAACTGCCACAGATGAACGAAATTTTGTGCAAAGAATGTACAAGATCCTGAAAAAGGGACTGGGTGACAGGACTACGTTGATCGACTTCAAGCTGCCTCAAGAGTCAGGGTGGCCTGTCAACAAGCCCCCATCTCACCGAAAAGAGAAATATGAGTTGCAAGTTGCGTTACTTGCTAATCCAGAGAATGTCAACCGCCTCGTTGACCGCGGCCCATCAGCAGATGAACAGGAAGAAGCTGCCAAATTCCGCGAGTTCTGGGGCGAAAAGGCAGAGTTGCGCCGGTTCAAAGACGGCAGTATATCTGAAAGCCTGGTATGGGCAGGAGACCGGCCAGTAACGTTACAGATCATCGCATATCTCGCAACCTTGCATTTCAAACTGTTGCCGAGCTCGCTCGAAACAAGGAGTCAGAATCTGGAGTCCAGCGTCCTGGGGGACGGCAACTACACTTCAGGCCTCACCCCCAAGGACGCTTTCCGTGTGATCAATTCAACATTCCAGACCTTGACATCCGGTTTGCATAATCTTGAGGGTCTACCACTGCCGATTCGCTCAATCTCCCCTGCAGACCCGGCTTTGCGCTCGAGCTCAACGCTTCATCCATTACTACCATCGATCTCGTCCCCCATCGTTATCTCCATCCAATTCGACTCTTCCACAAGGTGGCCAGACTCCCTGCCTGCCATCCAACATACGAAAATTGCGTTTCTGCTCAAACTTTCTGAGCTGCTGAGTTCAAACGAGCAAGGCCTCACTACTCGTGTAGGAATCGAGAATACAGACTCGGCCAGCACAGGCTATTTCAATACCTCGTTCCTCGACATTATTTATCCTTCTCCAGCTCCTGGTATCAGCCCTGTCTGCTTCCGAGCTCGCATCTACCATGACCGGGAAGCTCACCTCATTCAGACCGCCCTGGCGGATAAATCCCTCCATGGCGCACTTAGAGACTCTCTTGCCACCGCACTAGCCACTTACAAACGCGACTTTCAGGCTAAACCAATACATACGACCACTATTCGCAACCTGATCACCAGATTCCCGCCTTTGTCAAGTACGGTCCGCCTGCTGAAGAAATGGGTCTCATCCCACCTGCTGCTTCACGAATATATCCCCGAGGAAATTCTTGAACTCATCGCCGCGCATGTCTTCCTCCAGCCCGCACCGTGGAGTGTCCCCGGGTCTGCAACTGTAGCGTTTCTGCGATGCCTACACTTCCTTGCGAGGTGGGATTGGGCTTATTCACCGTTAATCATTGACATGAGCATCTCACAAGACTCCTTGACCGCGGCGGATATCACGGAGATCCGGAACCGTTTCGAGGCGTGGAGGAAGTTGGACCCGCAGCTGAACAACGTGGTGTGGTTCGTGGGCACGAATATTGACACGAGCGGGACCGTGTGGACTATCAATGCGCACCCTCCGCGGGTCGTTGCCGGTCGATTGACCGCACTGGCGCGCGCAGCGATCGAACTGGTCGAGAGCAAGTCTACAAGCATGACGGAAGACCAGTGGAGAGGCCTATATGAAAGCCCATTGGGAGATTACGACTTTCTCATCCACTTGAAACCCTCCGTGGTGCGCGGTGCTGGACTCAAAGGTAAAGGTACCAAAGCCAAGTCCCGAAGGGACAGCGGTGCGCAAGAGTTCAAGAACCTCCAGATTGCCGAGAGCATGGACGTCGACTCGATCGGGTACGACCCCGTTGAGCTGTATCTGCGCGATCTCAACCACGCGTTCGGGTCCGCGGCCCTGTTCTTCTACGACCGCTACGGTGGAACGGTGATTGCGGGACTCTGGCGGCCGACCGTGTCGGGGAGGAAGGAGTGGCGGGTGCGATTGGGCTGGTCGAGTGTGCCCGTCAAATCGGAGGCGGAGGCCGAAGAAGGAAAGGACATGTGTGTGTTCAACCAGGACGGAGTGCTGGCGGAGATGGCGAGGCTGGGCGAGGGCCTCGTGAGGGAGATCAAGGTCAAGGAGTAGTAGAGTGAGCAACGGGCGGGGACCAGCCTGTGTTTTTCAGATATGTGTGTATTGGGTATCACTTTGATAACAAGAATGACAAGCAAAGCAAGGGCCTCAAAAGGGCGAATCTATACCTGCACGCAGATTCCCACCAATTTTTGGGGTCGAGCCACATTTCATAAAACGCCCTTCTCTTCCCAAGGACGGCCATGCGAAAGCGGGAGAAGGTTCTACTCTGAAGACCTGCTTCAGCATGCTCCCATTCTTCAGAGACAGGGCCATCCCTTGAGATTTTTTGCACAATACTTCGCACATCACGCAGGATTTTGGTTTTCAAAGAGCCCAGATCCCCTTGTCCAAATCATTAAATGTATCGTCTCTCGGGATCTGCGAGGTCGAGGAGCTGCATGGTCTTCTCATACCTGGATTCACGATGGCGGTCAGAATGCTTCCACAGAAAAAAAAAACATGGTCCGGTCGGAGGTCCGAAGAGACTCACATGGTAAAGACAATGCCGCCACTGAGAGTGAGACGACCGAGTCGTGGTAGAGCACCAGACCAAAAGGTTAATATGCCTTCGTTCTTGTAGATTGACGCGGCGCAGTTAAATGTGTTCTTGTATACTGACCGGGCCTCTAGACTCTGCATGCGGGTTTTCACCGTATCAAGAGGCATGGTCGTGTAGACGGTCACGATGCCCGCGATGCCTCCTAGAGCGAAAGTCGTCAAAGACCCCAGCTTCTCGCCTGGCGCCACATAGCCCTCGGCGAATTGCTTGAGGCTCGTGTAGGTGCTGAATCGAACCGCGCTGTTGGCGGCTTGTCGTGCCGTCGTGGGCACGAATCCCTGAAAAAAGCCTCTAATCCCTTTCTCGCGGGCGATGACCGCAGACCCGTGGATGAAGCCGCGCATTCTCGGCTGCGCCCTCTTCCTGTCATCGACCAGCTGTGTTTTTATTGACTCTGACGGGGTTACCGCCAGTAACGATTCTGTGACCCCGGCGCCAAACCCCGCGGCGACGGTTCGAGGCCCGGATATTTGACCATCGTCGTCCGAGAGCAGATGTTTATATGTGTCAAAGGCGAGGAATCGAACGCCAGCCTTGACCGAGTTCCCCACGATCGCGGTCGTGCAACCCGTGTACCATTCTTTCGAGGGGAAGGGCGGCCACGGGAGCTTCTTGCAGTCTGGTAATCGGCGGTTAAGTTGCGATCTTGTCTTGAGGAGATCGAAGGGATATGTTATGGCAATCTCGACTGCCCCGGCTGTCGAGCCAGCTATTATCGAGCGCAGCGCACTCGGCTATTGAACGTATGCATGCGTCAGAAGTGCGAATTTCGCGCGGAGAGGCCCGTAGAAGTTCCTTGCATACCTTGGCCTTTAACTTGTCCCCATCCTTGGCTGAGGTTGAAGCCATTCTTTTTAAAAAGTGGACTGCGGTCAAGGGGGCTTCAAGCTAGAGGAGACCAAAGTTCGAGTTCAATATACAATACGAACTGCGTGAAAATAAATATGCTGTAGAAACGAACCACTAAGGACCTTTCGCCTTGTGCGACATCGGGCCCATTTGGCCGATGACCTAACAGCCGGAGTTTAGCCGTCGATCAACGCCTCAACGCGTGAAGACGCCAAACGCCAAGTACCGCACGGGCGCGCTCACCGTTGGGCAGGCGGTGGTTGCGAGGTTTCCCAAAGCCTCATTCCACCATCTCCATTCCATGCGCATCACCACTCCTCAAAGAGCGATTTGGTCTGGAGCGAAGCGCTCAAATGGCGCCTCAGAAGCGCCCTGCTCCCACTGACGGCGACGACGATGGCGACGACAGTCGAGAGTCGTCCCCACCACCCCGCGCCTCCGTATGGCATTTCCTCAGGAACATCATGCTTAACAATGCTAACAAGAGGCTAGAATAAGAGAAGACGGACAAGCGAAGAATCGTCCACCCACATTTATACTTCGAGTGATCGAGCTGATGGCGAAGATGCCAGTACTCCCCCTTCCGAGATTAGTTCCGATAGCGACGAAGACGACGACGACGAAGAGGCGTTGCTTGCAGCCACCCAAGCTATCGAGGCCAGGAGCAGAGAAGGTGCTCACAATGAGCCTGCAGAGTACGGTATCTTGGAGGGAGTCCAGCTCAAGAACTTCATGTGTCACGAGGATATGAGTTACGAGCTTGGCCCCTTGATCAATTTTATCTGCGGCAAAAATGGCAGTGGGAAGAGTGCGATTCTCACTGCCATCGTCCTGTGTCTAGGGGGGAAGGCTTCGGCAACGAATCGAGGAGCCCGTCTGCAAAACTTCATTAAAGAGGGAACCGATCACGCCACCATCATCTGCAGGCTAAAGAACCAAGGTGAAAATGCATACATGCCCGACGTATATGGGAAGACGATTCAAGTTGAACGCCACATCTCACGTACTGGCAGTAGTGGATTCAAGCTGAAGTCAGAAAAGGGCCGCATCGTGTCTACTCGGAAGTCTGATCTCGAAGAAATTTGCGATCATATGATGTTGCAGATCGAAAACCCAATGGCAGTTCTCTCGCAAGATCAGGCGCGTCAATTCATTGCCAGCTCGAGCGCCACGGAAAAGTACAAGTTCTTCATGAAGGGCGTCCAACTTGAGCAGCTTGACCAGGACTATCGACTCATCGAGGAGCAGCTCGACAACATCAAAGTAAAGATCGCCGCCAGGGCCCCGGATCTCAAATTTCTAAAGGGAAAGGCGGACAGCGCGGCGAACAAGCTTGCGCTATCCGACAGATACGAAGCTATGCGTGACAAGCTTCGAGATTATCGCCGACAGCTGACATGGGCCCAAGTCGCTATTCAGGAGAACATTCGAGATGAATATGTCAAAGAGCTTCAAGAGGCGGACGCAAAGATAGCGGCTGCAGAGGCAAAAGCTGAAGAGCTTGACGCGGCCTATCAGGAATCCGACCGAATTGCAGCCACCACCGCGGACAGGTATAATGAGGCAAATGAAGCTGTCCAGCGCCTCAACGACGAGAAGAAGGAGCTGCAGGCACAACAGCATGATCTGAAAAAGAACTATTCAGAAGCCGCTGCTGAGCAACGACAAATCCGTGACGCCTTGGTGAGTGCTGACAGAACCATAACACAGAAAAAGGCAGCTATCGAACAAGAAGTGCAAAGACTCGCCGAGCTCGATGGGGGAGGAGCTGCTCGCCGCATCAGCGAACTCAACGATGCGGAAGAAACGGTCAGAAGAGCGGAGCAGGAGTTGCAGGATCACCTGAACCAAAGAGATGCATGTGTCCAAGAAATCGAGACAATGCAAAGGCTTGAGGCTGAAACGGGAGAAGCGAAGAAGAATGAGGAACGGAGAGTGACCGACCTGGAGAACAACCTAAGGCGTCTGGTAGAGAACCGCAACTCTCAAGATCTTGCTTTTCATCCCAGAATGCAGGACCTTCTGCGAGCCCTACAACAGGAGAGGGGGTTCCGGGACGCGCCTGTCGGCCCTCTGGGAAAGCATGTTAGATTGTTAAAACCGGAATGGTCTTCGATTTTGGAAAGATCCTTCGGTAGCGCGCTTTCGGGATTTATCGTGACCAGCAAGCAGGACGAAAATCTGTTGAGCGGCATCATGCGACGGACTCAATGCATGCTGCCTATCTTCATCGCCAACAGCCTCCCACTGAACATTGAGCCACATCTCCCGGATCCCCGATTCACCACCGTCTTGAGTGTTCTGGAAATCGACAACGAGGCGGTCAGGAAACAGCTCATTATTTCCAACCAAATTGAGCAAAGCATCCTCATTTCAGACATGACTGAAGCCTCCAAGGCACTCTATTCGGAAGCTACACCTTTGCGCAATGTCAAGCGGTGCTATTGTTTCAGTCCAGGCAGCAAGGTCAAGGGTGCTGTTTTGTCTTATCGAAACGGCCGAGCAGCGCAAGATCCGGTGCACGAGTTTATCGGCTCTCCACGGATGAAAACAGATATTGACGATGCAATCCGTCGGCAACAAGATGTTCTTGCTGAGTGCAAGACCCAGCGTCTACGGGCAGAGCAAGAATTTCGCAGCGCTCAAGATCGGCATGTTAAAGCAAGACAGGCGCTCAAGCGACATGCGGACAGAAAGAGAGCGCTCGAAATTGCAGTACAGCAAGCGGAAGACAACGTTGAACGTTTGAGAGAGGCCATCAGGGACGACAGCGTCGAGGGTGGAAAGCTTGAGGCCCTGCGCCAGTCATTGAGCGAGGCAGAGGAGCAAAAGACCATTCACGAGAGCTCTTTTCAAGACTCGGTCATTGCCCTTGACGAACAAACCAAGAGACTTCGCGAGGCGACCCAAAAGTGCAACGAACTGGATGTCCGCATCAAAGATGCTGAAGCTAAGGTCGATAAGGAGCAGTTGAAAGCTCAGAAAGCCAGCAAGAAACGCGCGCATGATCTGGGCGAGAAAAATAGAGCGGTCGCTATGATTGACGACGCCAAAGCTGACCGTGGCACGCTGGAACGGAAGATGCAGGAAATGGATGAGAAAATTGCGAACTTCACAGACCAAGCACGGCTGGTCTGTGAACGGGTCAACCTTCCCGAAGGCGAAACATTTGAGAGCCTGAACAAAAAACATGAAAAACTTTCGGCAGATTATCGCAAATATCAATCCCAGGTGGGTGATCGGAATGATATCGCCGCCGAGGCATCCAAAACTTCCCAGGCATACAAGGCCGCCGAGCTGGAGATGAGTTCGTTTGAATCTTTACAGGCGCAACTCACGAGAACGCTTGGAGAGCGAAAAAGGCGGTGGGTATTGTTTCGAGGCCATATCACTGCTAGATCACGGGCAGGCTTCATCCACAAACTCAGCGAGAGAGGGTTCCGCGGACGGCTCCACATCGATCATAGAAAGAAGGAGATGGACATCGCCGTCGAACCCGATATTACGAGACGTGACGGAAGCGGGAGAAGCGCAAAGACGTTGTCAGGTGGAGAGAAGTCATTCGCCCAGATCTGCCTGTTGCTCTCGATCTGGGACGCAATGGGTGTTCCAATTCGCTGTCTCGACGAATTCGACGTGTTCATGGATGCGGTCAACAGAAACACCAGTGTTAACCTGTTAATCGATGGAGCCAGGCACAGCAGTGGCGGGCAATTCATTCTTATCAGCCAGGCACCAAATCCGACATCAAGAAAGCTCCGGATGTCTGTGCCATTGAGTAAGTGGAGAAGCGTCGCACCTTGTACACAGATACTAACAATCTATAGGATTGCGCCACCAGAAAGGGGCCAAACGAGGCTCGTACTCACTGCCACATGATTGTCGAATGTTGCCATGCTGGTAATGAGGACACACAGGACTGCCAAGATCTTGCTCTTTGGCCGGACTGAACCATTGTAGGACCGGACGTGATTGAGTCGACGTTGACACAACATTGCATCTTGTTCTTGTTGAGGTTGGCACCGGGTTGCGGTCGACGTGTGACAGACAGAGAAGGTTGTGCTGACCTGTGGTGCTCGTGGGCAGCCTCAACTTTTACACATGTGCAAATTGGCTGACTGCTATAACGCTATGGGCCACGACTGCTTCTGGGAACTGCTTCCATAGGGTGCGTGCGGTGTAAACAACCGAAGGCGCCAGGGCCATAATGCGGGCCACATCATGGTTTATGGCCCACGCCCGAGACCTCCTGGACTCACCTGACTCTGTGTAACGGCCTACGCTTCACCGATTTTTATCAACACGGAGCCCGCCGATCTTCAGTCGACACTGGAAAGTCGAGAGTCTGAAAAACATGTGCCAGGCGGTGGTTGTCCACGAAAGCTGCACAGAGAGGGACGTGGCGACTCCTGACGACACTCCGATGGATGATTGTGCGACTGCCGTCTCGTTCGCGTGGCTGCAGTTTGGGTTCTTGCGGAAGCCATCGTCCAGTGAGGCTCAGCAAGACCTCCTGACGACTATTTATCGGACCGCGGAAGGCTTCGCAAATGTCTCTCCCTTCAAGGACCATCCATTCTTAGGCGGAGCCATATTGTTTTCACCGGACTCTCGCATCGACGCGTTGGCAACACCAATGCCTCTAGTCGATAGCTCGATTTGCTGCGATTACATGGACATGCATCACTTCAGCAACACCCCGATGAAAGGTCATCTCCCACAGCCACTGCCAGTTTTGCGTTACCTTCATCTGATACGGAAGGCAAATTGGTCCCGCATGGTGACTTCGCTCCCAGAACACAGCAAGTCTGAAGAGCTGGATTTTGACAGAGGTCCCACAGTCAACGCTGCAAAGACAAGGAATTGTGGATGTGTCTTGCCGTGTGCGAGAGGAAGGTGCGCAGCGACGTTGATGATCTGGCGTGGAGCAAATAGCTTACGTTGACAAGTTGTCCTTGCAAGGGTTCAAGGGGACCAGGAGCATGCCCATCAAGCTGCACTTGTCTATGCAACTGAGAGCTCGACCGTGGTAGAATTTGGGAGGGTGGTCTTTTGCGGTCTACATGGTCTCAGGTGCGCTCAGGCTGAAAGATGGTGTGTGTCTATGGTTCGGTTCTGCCGCCTCTCGGTGGGCCGAGACTGTAGTATTGTAAGCCTGTCGATCTGAGGGAGTCCTCATTGTCAGCAGGAATGAATGATGAATGAACCAGGATGAAAGCGAATTGGGGGCTGAATGGCCAAGGTAGAATCAGTGTCGAAGTCATTGGAACAAAGCAGGCAGCGCAGGTTGCCTAAAACAGCAAGATTTGGTTTATGCCTGGGTCTTGGCGCTGGACTGGGATCTGCAGTCGCGGACCAGGCACAAAGAACTTGCCCTCCCACTCTACTCCAGACTCGAAGCACCAGAACTCACTTACACCTCGACTACACTACTTTCACGGGGCGAAGCCGCCACTAGAAAACCTTCTGACTCTCTCCAAGCACCTCACTACCTTCTCGACGCAGATTGGCTTCCTTTGACACAAGAAAGCCACAGATCCCAACCCGCCACAAAGTGAACACCCCGCGACAATCCTACCTCTACCCACGATCTTTCCACTACCCTCTCTCAAGCCATTCCTCTAGGCGCCAGTAGATCTCTCGTGACTAGAAAGAGGTTGTTGTCGTTGTCGACCAATCGATCTGCTGCTCGCAAAACCCGACATCACACCCTTTTCCCATTCCGCCCTCTAAATCTCTCTCAAAAATGACGGACGCTTTAGCAGCACAACTCAACAAAGCCTCTTTGAACGATGGCGCAGACGAGTCAAACTGGAAAGACTCGCTCAACCTTCCAGCAAAGGACACCAGACAACAGACTGAAGATGTGACTGCTACAAAAGGCTTGGATTTTGAAGACTTTTACATCAAGCGTGAATTGATGATGGGCATATTCGAGGCCGGATTCGAGAAACCCTCTCCGATTCAGGAAGAAACCATACCTGTTGCCCTCACCGGCCGAGATATCCTGGCCCGAGCAAAGAATGGAACTGGCAAAACCGCAGCCTTTGTTATTCCTACCCTCGAACGAATCAACCCCAAAAACCCAAAAACCCAAGCGCTAATTCTAGTCCCCACTCGAGAACTCGCTCTACAAACGTCCCAGGTCTGCAAGACTCTGGGAAAGCACTTGGGCATCAATGTCATGGTTACTACAGGTGGCACCGGACTGAAAGACGATATCATCAGGTTAGGGGAAACAGTACATATTATCGTTGGCACCCCTGGGAGAATCCTCGACCTTGCAAGCAAAGGTGTTGCAGACTTGTCCGAATGCCCTATATTTGTCATGGACGAAGCCGACAAGTTGCTGTCTCCGGAGTTCACTGTTGTCATTGAGCAACTCCTATCCTTCCATCCCAAAGACCGACAGGTGATGCTGTTCAGCGCCACTTTCCCGATGATCGTCAAGGCATTCAAAGACAAACACATGCGAAATCCCTACGAAATCAACCTTATGGACGAGCTGACCCTGCGTGGTATAACCCAATACTATGCTTTCGTCGAAGAGAAGCAGAAAGTTCATTGCCTCAACACATTATTCTCGAAGCTTCAGATCAACCAGTCAATCATCTTTTGCAACTCGACAAACCGGGTTGAGCTCCTTGCAAAGAAGATCACCGAACTGGGGTATTCGTGCTTCTACTCTCACGCCAAAATGCTGCAGCAGAATCGAAACAAGGTTTTCCACGACTTCCGTGCCGGCGTCTGTCGAAATCTGGTGTGTTCCGATCTCCTCACTCGTGGTATTGATATTCAAGCGGTCAATGTGGTCATCAACTTCGATTTCCCCAAAAATGCCGAAACATATCTCCATCGCATTGGTCGTTCTGGACGATTCGGTCATCGTGGTCTCGCTATCAACTTGATCAACTGGGACGATCGTTTCAATCTGTATAAAATCGAACAAGAGCTGGGCACTGAGATCCAGCCGATTCCTCCATCTATCGACAAGAGTCTGTATGTATATGAGAATCCCGAATCGATTCCACGCGCAATGCCTCCACCAGCACAGACTCAGAAGGCCAACACGTCCAACGCGAATGCCAATGCAAACAACACAAATAACAATGCTACCAACAGCAACGGTCAATACCAGCAGGCTCGGAGACCACAGAATCAATCGAACGGATATGGGCAACAATACAACAACCAAGGACGTGGTGGATATCGTGGACGAGGTCGAGGTCAGGGTGCTCGAGGCCGTGGAGGTCATCCCCAGCAGTCAACAGCGGCACCCGTGGGTCAAATCGCTCACTAGTCTGAGATTTGAACTTTGATCTAGCGGTGGACCTTTTTTTTTCTCTTCTTGATTTTCTGTTTCACGGCGTTTTTTCTTTCAGTTTCATGGCACGAAGGTCTATGACATGCGACATGCGCAAGCTGGGAGTTTTCAATAATGGCTGGCTCATGTGGTTTTCCTTGCGATCAGATCTGTACAACAGTGTTGGTACAGCTTCTACTTCTTTCTTGGGGTGGGTGTTTTCTGGATGGATTGCTACGGACGGACCGGGGGGGCTTCTGGGTCCTCTGCCGAGCAAGCTTCGGTCGGGGATTTATGGCTCATGACATTGCATGTCTTGAAAGAGCCACGTTCTTGTTGGGGTCACGGAGAAAACTGGCGCAAAAAGTTTCGGTGAAGGTCAGTGCAGTCTTCTACACGGATTGTAGACCTGCATGGCGTTGCTTGGCTATTTGCATTTCTCTCGTTCAGATCTCGGACATACCAGCCACACGACGACTCCTATCACTGTCACGATATCCTATGCTCATACTCTTCAACTCTATCCACTTCGACACCAGTCTTACGGAACGACCTAATCATCAAATACGCCTGGCGCATATTCAATCAATATCTCTCTCGGCGAGCAGCCAAACACCCTCTTTTTCGACTTGCGCAGAAACGACACCCAAATACAGGCACCACCACCACGACATACCCAAGAATATCGACACCTCATACCTACTGCCTTCTACGAGCCCTTCAGCGCACTAAACCAACACACCAATTATAATCGTCATGCGATTACCTCTCCGTGACAACATGATGTCACCTAGTGCAGCTCAGTGCTAGGACCTGGCATTAATCTTCAACACAAAAGACGACAATGATCTGTCATCGAATCCAATTCAATCCAACAGTGAACTTTCTTTCATATGCCACCTCATCACCGGACAGGGGAAGGGTAACGCTTGATAGATGCAAGCAGATCTCAAAGACGCTCTCACACAAAAAACTATGAAAACAATAAAAAAATAATAGGAGGAAAGCCGACGGCTTGCACATCCCGGAAGTTCGTGAGAATTTTATGTCTGTGACAGGCAAATGCACCGAACAAACGGAAACAGACCTACGAACACTGCGAAAGAATTCCACAGTCGCTCGATAAACGAGCAAAGACGACCAAGAAAGTCATCTACCACTGGTGGAAGTACTGTGACGATTCTAGTTTCTAGTGGGATGGAAATAGCTTGACAAGATATCGGAACAGCAAAGCGCAGACTAGATGGGACGACACTCTAGTATATTTGTGTCTGTCTGTTTAGTTCTTTTCTGCGCGCCGCGCACCTCACTCGAGGTCGAAGCTGATCAATGAGAAAAACTGCCCTCTTTCCTCTGAAAAAACAGAAAAAGGAACAAACCATGCCACCTATTTTGATTCTAGAAGTGCTTGCCTTATACCGTGACGTACTACCACATTCTCTGGTAAGCTGGCGATATCCAACCGTCCCCAACCCGGACTCGACTGCCCTGATCGGGAAAATGCCGTCCCCGTTGATCATTTGAGCGCTCTCTATCTCCCTCTTGCCCGCGGAAGCTCGCAAGCTAGATCTCAATGAAGAAGGAAGGGAGAGAGAGAAGGGAACGAATCGGAGTAGAAAAACACAAATCTGATCCCAATTAAGTTCACCATTAAGTAGCTAAAAGTAAAGTAAAGTAAAGTATTCCTTCCTTCTTCCTTCCTTCCTGGCTGGCTGGCCCAATTCCAACATTATGCGAGGCGTTTGCCAAAGCTCGACTCGAGTTGACTCGATGCCACTCAACACGCCAGCCAGCGATCTGATCACCTTTGGCGGGGGAGGTATGTTAAACAAAAACATGCAAATGCCTCAAGACGGGGCGTGCATGGCCCTTCAGGGGATGTGCGGGTGACGGTGAGGTCGAGGGTGTCCTTTGTCCGTTGACATGTCCAAGCGTGTATGTATGTCTATGAAACGGAGATCTCTGTCCTTTCTGGCAGCGGCCATTGAAGAGAGGGATCCAATCGTGGCTTGCTTACTACTACTCCAAGGTCTCATACTGCGTAGAAAGTGGCGGATGGGAAAAAGACAGGAGATGGTGATTGATTCGATAAATTGCGTACCACCGCATTTGATCGGGGTTTCTCAATAAGTCAACAGCTTCTTCTGGCCACCCATGAGACCGCCGCCGTTTCCAGCAGCCTTGTGACTGGGTTTGGTGTATGAACAGAATCGGTCTTTGATGCTCACAACCTCATAGATGCCCTCGTCGCTGGCACGGATCATCTTGCTGAATTCGTCTGACGTGTCGTGGCGTGTCTCGAGAACTCGGGCTTTGCCCGTGCCTTTTCTGAGGTTCTCCGTGCGAGTATATCTGGTAGGCGTCATCAAAATGTCAGTATATCTTCCAGCTGTCTGTTGAGTGAGGACGCAATGCGTGGGGGAAGAGACAGGGATACTCACGTGAATTCAAAAGGTGGCGTCCCAGTAAACGTAAACAGTATGTCCACCTCCCCTCCCTCATGAATGTCGCTGATTACCGTCTTTCCCTTGCCAATTTCAACAGTCGGATACGGATGAATGACTTTTCTGATGTCTTTCCTTGCGCGGCATTTGTTATTCCCCATCGCTGAGTCGCTGACACCCGTGATGACAAACTCTCCTGGCGACTCAGCAAGCCGTCTGAACTCATTACCCGAAACACGTGCTTTTCGTTCACGATTCTGGAAAGTATAGAAAACATCAAAGGGGGCTTGGCCGCTCAGGGAGAAAGAGACGTGCTCGCCCACACAGTAATGTTCTTGGGACTCCAGCGGGATGATGGCCGGTGGCGCTGAGACATGAATGCGGACGGCGGATGGGTCCGAGTCGAGGATGGATTCGCAGCCAAGCGCGTCTTTGACTGAACGAATAGAAACGGTATGTGTACCTAGGTCGAGGGTGGCCCGCGAAAGTGGCCACGAGTAGCTACGCGTAGCTATGTCTTTTTGGCGGATGATCTCAGGGCGGGTTGATACGCCGTGGTGAATGATGGCAATTTCGACACTGAAAGGGGGCGTGCCGGTAAAGGTGATCGGTATGTTTTCAGTTTCGGCCTCGGCGCTGTTTGTGAAGGTGGGATCGTATTTGCAGTAGCCATAAGTCTTCCCTGCCTGGCTGAACTTTGCAGACGGTAGAGGATACACTTGCTGCCAGAGAACAATCGGCGTAAATCCCTTCTTGTCGGGAGAATAGCGAGCATCGCCCAGCTCGCTGAAAACGTAAGAGTATTCTCCAGCTTTGCTGGTGTCAAGATTGACTTGCGCACTACTACCTGCCAGGGTGACAGGCTTGTTGCTGATTGCAGCAGGCCCCTTGATTGGTTCGAACTTCTGCTGGTATTTGAGGTGGAAAGGCGGGCTGCCTGTGAGACCAAGGCCCAGAACTGATTCGTCTCCCTGACAAACTGCGGCCTTGCGGAAGCCTTTCGATCCTTCTGTCCCAATAGCCGGATCTTTGATTGATAGCGTTGGTCGGGGCAGCCAGCTCACTTGGAATTTGTTCGCTTTAGAATCAACCACGCCGGGGCAACTGTCATGAATAGAGACGATCTCGTAAGTACCCGGACGGTCGACTGAGATTTCGGCGTTTGCGTCTCTGAATATCTGCTCAAATGAATCAGAGCCGTCGTCCAGATTCTGCAGTCTGACCGCCCATGGGGCGAAGCCGTTGAGCCGCAATGGCAGTTTCACAGACCTGCCATCTAGTGCCAGGATCGATCGTTTGCCGTCTATATCGCCGAACGCTGCGCGTGGTTGCTCTTGTCTGACTTCGACCTTCCGTTCCTCCTGCAACGTCGTACGACATCGTGATTTGTCTTGGACTCCTGATAGTACAACAGAATAGCTCCCTCCTTCTGCAAAGGGGGGAAGTTCGATCATGCATAGCTCGTCCTCGGTGTGGATGTGGTGCTTCTTTCTTTTGCCGGCATGCACCAGCTCATAATCCAAATCCCACGGTCCTTGACCTGCAAGTCTAACTGGTATGGACACAGGTGAGCCGAGACACGCCTTTACAGCACGATTGTCTCCGTGGAATATCGCAGACGCCGGTGGCTTGATGTCTTGTTTGAGGACGAGATTTTGGTCTTTTAGTGACACGCTGCCGTAGACTTGGTCTTCGATCTCATGGATTGTGTATATGTAAGAGCCAGCGGCTCTTTCACGCAATTCCATCTGACCGCGCATACCAGAAAATTCTTGGACTTTGGGGAAAGCCGTCCCACGGTGGCTTATTGTGTATCGAACTTTGAAGGGAGGAGTCCCCGTGAAGTCAAAGTTAACATACATGCCAATTGGATTACCGGCACACTTGTCAAAAATGTCCTCAGACTCCATACTGAGACCTGGTTTGGGAGGATTATGGAGCAGACATGACGAAGGTTCAACGACCTCGCCACGGCAGAACTGGCTGTCAACAGAATCGAGGCTATATTTGCCAGGCTGACTGATCAGAGGCATGGAGCGACGGTCCGCCATCTCGTGTACATGGTTTTCCGAGCGAACGGCTTCCCCTTCGCCGTCTGAGACAAAGCTGTACTTCACATTAAGCGGCCAGTCTGATGGATGCAACGAATCCACATGTTGGATTGAAATCGGAAGAGGAATAGCGTTTCCTTCACGGACGCGAAGTACGCGATCTGAGTTGAGGCCTCCCATCGTGACTCGAGGCCTGTTATGCACAGTCAAGCTCTGCACCCGTGGAGCATGAAAGTCCTTTGATTTGCTCCCATTGTAGACGACCTTGTTCCCGAGACCATCTTCTACTTCCTCGATGGTGTAAGAATGGCTTCCATTCTGGTGTAGAGATTCATTGATCTCGAACGACTCGGTTGTGGATTTCGTCCACCCCATATGTGGCCGTCGTGGATCGAGGACGACAGCCGAGGCCTCATCGCTGGAGACCAAGTCGAGATCCACATGTGGCAGTACATTCTGGACAATGGAACTGAATTGCTTGTGATTGACGGTTTTGCTGTATTTGACTTTGAACGGTGGGACACCTGTGACTCGCAGAGCGATGTTGCTCAACTCTCCAGTGCATCTGTCCTCGGATTGAGTCGAGATCGACGCCAACGGGCAATGCACAACCGCCGTGTCGAAACTCCGTTTCCGCACTTCCAATTTTGTCGTGTCAATAACGCGTTGCAGCTGGTACAGGCCAGCCTTTGAAACCGGGTAAAGTAGAGTCCGAGGCGTGTTTGTATCAGACTTGTGGTGACCGCTGTCGGCCTGTTTTTTCAACTGTCTGGCTTGTTTGCTGCTGATGGTGATCGTCTCGACTTCCTCCGTCTCAAGGTCATACCGTTGCAGCTCAATAGAAATAGGTGTCGTCTGATTGATCTGAATCGGTAGTTCCACTGAGGGTCTCGACGCGTCAATGCAAAACGCCCTCTTCTCGGGATTCAGAATGGCAGAGCCCTCTGGAAGGATGTGTATAATTTGTTTGCCCAAGATGATCGAGGAGTTGTGTAGAATATCGCCTGGTTTCACCCGGTGCTCCGAGATCGACAGCTCGCGATCATAGGCTACCTTGACCAGTGCCCCCAGCCACGTCAGGAAAGGTATTGGTATCTTGTACATTAAGAAAGCATTTGCAATAGCATGCAGCAACCATAGTGTGAAAGCCGTGGGAAACGAGAACTCCAGCCAGGGTATCTTAAACGCCGGTAGCGCCACGAAGAATGCGGCATCAATTCCTACCCATTTAAGAAACAACCACGTCGAATCCAGATCATTTTCCACATTGTAGGAGTTGTACAGCCTCCAGGCTGTGAGAGCAATATAAAACCCAAAAACGTAGAATCTTTGAGATGGAACGTCGACGATTTCGGTCGGTATCAGGGGCGTAGGGGCACCCGCCCGCTCACCAGGGGTTTTCACAGGTCGTATTATCGGTGATGGTCTCTCAGGAAAGGGAGAAGGGGGTGAGCCCAGAGCTGAGCGTTCATTGTTGTTGAAGGTTCGGCGTCGAGGGTCTGTTCGTGGAGTGGTAGGGAAGGCCGACCGCAGTCGCGGAGTTCCATTCATTGCACCATGCGGCTGTGAAGTACTCTCTCTTGTATCAAACCCAAAATGCCTCCTCCGTGAAATATTGGAGTTGCCTACCAGCACTGGTTGGCTGAGTCGCAGTTTCGAGGGAAAAAGATCTTGGGTTTAAAGCGTGAATGCTCGTGGAGGTTTGGGGACAACCGAAATCGCTTTATGTCTGCTGTTTATTTTTTCAGCAAGTACAATCCTGTAGCCGTGGAAAAGAAAGATAGTTCTAACACCCAATTTTTACCTGTTGGAGAGCGATTGACGCAGGTTTCTATCGCGTTTGCACGCGTCTTGCAGTCCGTTGCCAGGCACAAGGCTGAAGGCCAAAAATGGCTTGGCGGTGTAAATGACGTCAGTTACACAGCCTTGCGCACAAGGCTCGCTCCTCTCCTTTATCCCCGTGTCCCCTTAAGAACAGAACCTTCGATTCCTTTCGAGTCCAGGCTGAGATCAACAACATCCCCGGAGATTCGGCCCGCCACGTGGTAGTCCATGAAATAATGGAACCTCGTTGCCGTACCCAGATGGATCAGGTGCGAAGCTGGTGAGAAAGTTATTGCCTTTCCAGATGGAGATTCGTCTTGTCCGACAAACCAGACACTTTTCCGACCGGCCTGTACTGTTGGTCCTCCTCCTATACAACTGAAAGACAGAATAGTCCTTTTAGGAACTATTTCTGCAGTGGTTTTACCCACGCATCTTCTGCCAAATCAAGTGCAGCTTCGTTCTCATTCTACACACAAAATTATCTCAAAACCCCTTTCCGGGATGGCCACCGCTGGAGCTGTCGCCGTTTCGGAGCCAACCATCCACGTACCAGCAGAAAGGGATACACTTCAGGAGAGTCCAGGTGCAGCTTCAACGCCCCTGGATACAACCTCAACAAATACCGAGGATGTCCCACCTGCTGATAACCAAATCGCTTCGTGGAAAGGATGGGCAGAAATAGAAAATGACCCGGTAATTCGTTCCCTTCGCTTACCAAGGGGTACCCAACTGATCTTGGATCCAGATTGTGTTCAGCACCTTGTTACGAGAATGGGGTGTCTCCAATGTCCAGGTCAACGAAGTAGTGCCACTTGACAGCGTCTTCGAGTATCCGCCGTAAGCAGAAACAATTTGTGCTTGGAATCCATGTTAATTAGTGCACAGGCAGAGTATCTACGGACTAATCTTTTTGTCGAGATGGGCCGCACCCGAAACCGAAAATGATCTTACACAGCCTCCCACCGGAATTTGGTTTGCGAACCAGACGCTTTCCAATTCTTGTGCCACGGTTGCTCTTATGAATATCGTCAACAACCACGCAACGGTTAACCTGGGCCAGCCACTCAACGACTTCCGGGCGACCACTATGCATTTGACCCCCGTTGAACGAGGCCTTGCCCTAGATCGCTTCGACCACGTTAGAGACGTCCACAACTCGTTTGCCACAGAGTTTGACAAGATGAATGTCGATCTTCGTCTCAAGCAGGACATGGCTCTGGCCGAAAAGAAGAAAAGAGCCGCAAATGCCAAACGGCCACGCAAGAAACTCAAAGCAGAAGACGAAGCCGACGAGGACGAAAGCGGTCTTCATTTCGTTGCATATGTGCCAGCTGGAGGGGTGGTATGGAGAATGGATGGCTTGGAGCGTCTTCCACGGAAGCTAGGCTGTGTGCACGAAGAAGATAGCTGGGTCGCCATGGTTCTTCCGGAGCTACAGGCTCAGTTGGAATCCGCAACGACCAACTCTTTGGAGTATTCCTTGCTCTCTCTGACCGCATTGGACGACTCGTCGAGCCTGGATGCGGATCAGGTGAAGATGGAGAGAACACGAGAGGATTGGGGGCCATTCCTGGCGCAAATGGTCAAGGTGCATGCTGAGAAGGGTACTTTGAAACAGGGACTGGGGTAGAGTTGAAGGACACCAGATTTGTTAGACAATATGTAAAAGATCGGAATTGATAATCTGGGAGATGTCTCATAACCTGTCGAAGCGAAACCAGTGCTTACCTGAGATTTCGATCATTAATTCGGAACCTCGTCCTCTGTCACTCTGTACCTCTGGACTGCGAGCGCAGTTGGCGGTAGTTGGTCACTGCGCTTGGCGGTCACGAGGGCTTCCTCGCTCTTGGCCGTTATAACATCCTCCTTCATCTCGATCCTCAGAACCTCAATCGCACCAAACACCACCAAGTAACTAATTCACCAGTCTCCCATATCATCATCCGCGAAGAACACCGCGCCGACACTGCGCCCTCGCACTCGCCGAGGAATCAGGTCGCGATGACCTCGCCACTCACACAACTTCCTAATGAGGTCATTCATGTCATTCTGTCATACTTGCCCTTCCAGAGCAACACCGCTCTGCAACAAACCTGCCACCGCTTCGCAGATGCCGCCAAAGAACCACTTGTATGGAAGAAATACTGCCAGGACTTTTTCAGGTGGTGGGATCGACGGCACTCGTTCCCCGAAAAACTCCGAGATGCATCCTTCGTTGCGTGGAAGGAGCTGTTTGCAGAGCGGTACAGGACATCCAAGGCCACTCGACAAGCCCTCAATACGATGATCGAGGAGGACTCCGGGCGACTCGACTCGTTGAGGGTCATCCTGGACGCTCGTTACGACGCCAAGGACCACTTGTTCGACATGTACTGGAATGCACCCTCTTCCCCGAACCACCTTGCCCAGAAGTGAGTCTCTCTGTAGGGCCCGCCTGCTGGTCATGCTTCTGATCTCTCTTTAGATACTGGAGCCATGCGGCTTTAGGCTGTGTACAGAGACTGATTGCGGTTGAGGAGTGGAAAGATATCCCACCAGGAGAATATCGTGCGGACTCACTTGAACGGTCACTGTCTGCTTTCGATATGTTTATCCTCGAAGAAAAGGCCGTGGGGGACATGTCCGATGTGAGTTTGTCGACCAGGCCATGTCGCTGCTTCCGTCCTAGCTAAAGGTCGCGTCAGATCCTTGCTCGTCTTGATTCCTACGTCCTTTCGGTCCGCGAGGCTCACCCCCACATCGATGGAATGTCGCCGCGGATGAGAGCGAGCATCATCGCTCAGCATCTGCTAGACAAAAAATGGGTAGGCATCACAGATGGACGAAACTACCACTCCATCGACCATATGTTCCTCGGAGTAGCTCTGTTTAGCACCAACAGAAACTCGGTCCCTCTTATCTCGGCCAGCATCTTTTGTTACGTTGCACGTCGATTTAACTTGCGAGCCGAACCTTGCAGCTTTCCTTTCCATGTGTATGCATTCGTGCAGGCTCCGCTTGGATTCGACATTGACGGCCACCCCCTTGCAGAATCTTCCAGTCAAGAACCGTCCGATCTGACACACTTCTACATGGACCCTTTCCACAACTCAGAACCCATCTCCCGATCAGTGTTGGAGACACGGCTCAAATTCATGAATCCTGGTGTAACACCAACTCAGACTGTCGCATATATGTCGCCGGCGCCTCCCCGTGACCTCTCAGCACGCACAGCCCTCAACATTTTAGCCTCCCCTTCTCACGACCCCGGTCTTCCATTACATCCGATCAACACCAACTTGGCCGCCTACTCTGCTTTGTTCGCTCTCGTCAGCATCCCATCCGAACCCCCCAGGCACGCAACACACTTGCGCCAACATCTCGCCGTCCTTACGCAGCACTTTCTCGAATATTTTGACCTGGATATCCACTTGTTTGAAACCTGCGTCCTTCCACTGACAAATGATCTGCCCGACGCCCGTGCTTACCGCAACTTAATTTTGCAGCTGAAGGAGTCGGATCACGAGTCACGCCCAGCCAAATATCGGGCTGATCCTCGCAATTCAGAAGTGAAATACAGCGTAGGCCAAGTCTTTAGGCACCGTCGTCGGAATTACGTGGCCGTGATTTATGGGTGGGATCCCTACTGTCGCATGCAGGAGCAGTGGATTACCATGAATCAAGTCGATCGCTTACCAAACGGAAGATCTCAGCCCTTCTACAATGTTATCGTGGAGGATGAGTCGACACGCTATGTGGCGGAGGAGAACGTGGTGCTGTTAGGTCCCGATGATTTTTCGGAGGAGTATGCCAACAATTTTCCCATCGAGGTTGGAAAGTGGTTTAAGCGGTATGATCCGGAGACGGCGACATTTGTGAGCAACGTGAAGGACGAATACCCCGACGACTAGCAATTCCTTGGTAAAGGGGATGGTGATGGCACTGGGCTGCTTTCCAAGTCGACTGACAGACCTGGCTCTGCGGCGAGTGCACAGATTATGGGTCTCCTGGGATGTTTCCAGTCAGCACGAAAGGTGGCCGTTCTGGACCATACGATGCTGCTTCTGCGCTTGTTTAAACATGAATGAAGGAATACCGACTTCGCAAATACTGGCAATATCAAGAGATTGACACCGGACCAGGACGACGAAATGAAGACGGGGAGCTGTTAGTCGACCACACAAGCCTTATCAACGTTATTGAGCAGCTTAGCCAGAAACATACCCGAGTCGAACCTTGCAGGCATCATGCGGCAGAACCCACTGGGGTAAATGGATGATTGTCTTCGACTTCGTCTCGCTGTTGCCTGGAGGGATCACCGTGACCTGCGGCTTGAGAACTAATTTTTTATTTGATTTCAGGTATCAGGTAGGTTCCTAGAGAATGCAGCCGAGGCCATGTGCTCGCTATAAGGGATTTCCTCATGTGACTCCTGCGCCAAATGCATCTCAGCTCCCTGAATTTGGATCAGGTCGACCGCCCTCCTCTTCAAAGCATGTACCAAACCATTACCTACTATGGTAGCAATTCCTACGCTGTCTGACTGTTGGTCGCTTCGAAAATCCACCTAAGCACTTGGACCTTGGCCTACGAAGACAACGAGGACTGCAGCATACCCTGCGATTGCAGCCAGAAGCTCCTGGTTGGACACGCTGCTCGATGCAGCCAAGCTTATAGCGAAGACGAACAACCAGAGCACGACGGACATGAGTTGGTACTTCAAGGCTGATACGTAGACCAAGTTGTACAGCGGCGCCACCAGGAATACCACCCCGGCCCCTGCCACAATGAATCGGGCCAGACTGTCGGCCGCATTCGCGATTTCGCGGGGTCTGACTTCCGGGGGAACGAGCCGCGAGAACGAAACCGGGTCCTCCTGAGGGCGCCGTTGCCAGAACCTACGCCAACGCCAAAGCCAGACAGAAAGGCCTCCTTCGTGGATACGATGAAACGACATGAGACCTGTTGCGACGGCGTTCCGGACAGAATCCACGCTGGTTGTGAGATTGAGGTCGACCATCTCTTGCGCATTCTTGAACTGGTAACGGTCATCCGCCAGCATGGCTTGAAACACCTTGGCGGTATATTCGGCATCTGTTGCGGACGGACTCGCCCACCCTTCGAGCTCCTTGAACGTTCGGAGCGCCTCGGCTGAATTCCACACGAACAGGTTAACTCAGAAATGAACGTAATTGACACTATCTCCAGGACAGCCTCGAGCACGGCTAGGGATCGTTCTATTCAGGGGACAGCCTACATACCGTATTCTCTCAACAGCTTCGCCAGGGCGTTATGGTCGTCGTCTGAAAGGACCTTGTGGTCTCGAACACCCTGCTCGAGATCCAGAAGTCTCTGTTGGTACGTAAAGAGGCTCAAGAGATGAAGCGGTCTGAAACGCCGGAATCGCATGCTGTTCTCCACTGCACCGAATCCTCCGCTGGCAAAGCTGGCAAATATTCGGTTCTTGTCACTCTTGGGAATTCCTTGCCATTCCAGCCCATATGCTGCATCGAACTCTTCCTCTTCCACACTTAAGTCGGAGGCTTTGTTTGCAACAGGACTTTCGACTTGGGGACGCGGCTCGATCGGCGCGGGTGCCACAGCCGGCGGCTCGGCAGGGACTATGGTGGGAGGTCTTGGAGGCTCCTCTGGCGGTGGCGGCTGGGGCACCGCAGGAATCAGACTTGGACCCTGGTCTGTCCTGAGGGATGCGAGAGCATTGAGGTCCACGTCTCCCAGGTGGTCTGCCCAGTCATTAAATCCTTGCTCTGGGATGAGGGAACGGGTAGGATCAAAATCCATTGTGCCTCGGGCGAAGTGGGCAAATGACATGAGCGGTCTTGTCGTCTGGGCCTTTACTTGTAACCTGGCAGTAAACTGCTGGTCGTTTTGTCGTCTGAGCAGAACGGCACCGGTGAAGGAGCCAGAAACACCATGCTGCAACTGGCCATCTTCTGAAAGCTTCCAAGACACCGAATCTGGACCACCCCAGTTCCGTTTTAGCAATCGAGCTACGCCATGGAGTCGCATTCCCCTCCCCATGTCCTGCGTGAGCGATCTCTCCAGTCGAAGCCCACCCATGTCGCGGGACAGACTAGGGAGGGTCAGGCTGCCTTGAGGCGCGAGGGTCAAGACCTCCGGGCCTCGCTCCTCGGGCCCGACACTCTCAAATAATATCCTGATGTCGATTGCTTCGATTCGACTTTTCCTACCCGTGAAAGACATGTTGAATTTGAACACGAGGAGAGAGCACGGCACTTTGTCTGATGGACTGAGCGTTCCGTGGATGGCGGCATAAAGTCTCACATCCAACCGTGGCTCATCCTTGTTCCGGGCCATGATCACAGTTGGCGGAAGTGCTGCCTCAGGATCCGGGACGTTGGCCATTCTGTCTATTGATGGGAGAGAGGACAAAACGTGTTGTGGGAGGTTCTAGAAACAAGATTTTGACCACTGTGACCACTGGGCTGTGCGACAATAGTCGGCGAGATATTGGGGTTGGTGGGAGGGGAGATAAGAGCAAAGATCAAGAGAGTTTCAGATGGGGAGGGCCGAGTGGTTTTGGAGAATGAGGAATCACAAGATCCTGGATGAAGTGACTGGAGGTGGAGGTGGAGGAGGAGGAGGAGGAGGAGGAGGATTTAAATACACACCCGTTAAAAAACGATCAGGCTGGCGGGAACTAGAAATACATACCATGCATAAAACTATGAGGGACGATCGTTTACGAAGTTCGTGTTGAGGCGCATCACACACATGCATATTTCGCTCCAGGTGAGGCTGAACGGCTGAGTCTGTTCCTAGGTATTGGCCTATTGTCAAGTTTGGATCGTGGTTGTGGCGGTGGTCCAGCCAGTGCCAGTGATGTGATTGACGTGGTCGTCCTGATAGCCAGTAGCCAGTAGTAGCCAGTAGGCGCTGCTGTGGCCCCCAAATCGCCAACTCTGGCCAAGGTCGCGCGGGCCGGAGCGAATGGAGGGTCGGGCGGATAGAGGCGAGCCAAGTAGCAGTAGAGGTAGTAGTGAAAATTGTCTCGGCGATCTTCGCTCTAACCACTTACTACGGATGTACGGAGCTACTCGGTAGATACTGTATAGTGATATATCCTACAAATAGATGGTACAGGTGCGAGTATCTCGTACTTGTGCACCAGCTGGCGTGTAAAGCACCGTAAGGTAAAGGGAGTCAGCCCATTGAGGGTGGTGGGCGATGTTGAATGATTCTTTCAAGATATCCATTTCCCGCCCTTACCATCTGTTCTCCTCTTTTTAAAAAAAATCCCTTCGCGGAACTCTGCTTATAACGGTGTGGATCACATATCAATCTCGTTCCAGCACGCCGCTCGAGATTCTGACCCGGACGAGAAATCCTTGGGAGTCGATATGTCATGACCGCCAAATCATCCCGTCCCTTTTCCTCCTACAATATCCATCCAACAACGCCGACGACGGCTCCAATGAAGGACCCGGCAATAAGATCCTTGTTCTGGAAAGAGGTCAGCATGTTGTATCGCGATGGACGAGTCTCCAAGCCCTACCTGAACGATGATACCGCCGTTGGAGGAGCTGCTAGCTGTCGGACCAGAGGTGCCAGTAGTCAGGGCCGTGGGCTCGGCACTGGCCGAAGCAGGCGTAGTTCGTCCAGCATTCGCTGCGGCGAATTGGTCAAAGCAGGCAGAGGAGGTGGCCTGCGCGCAGCACGAGTCGATCCGCGACTGCCCGACACTGGTGCAGAATTGACAGACGCCGTCGACAGCGATTTGTTCGAGATTCATCGACTCGCTGACTGGGAGGTCCGACAATGCTGGCAGGCCGTGGATGTAGTTCGTGCAGATGGTGAAATACGACGAGGCCAGGTCGTCAGACAGGGTGGGAACGGGTGCGACGGTTGAGCCGATGAATTGAGAGAAGACCGACGAGTCGGCCAGGACGTATGCGATCCGCGTCAATACGGCCAGGTAGAGGAGAGCCGCGCGATATGAAGGCATGATGGATTGTAGAGAACGCCGAGGTCACGGTTGTCGAGGGATAAAGTTTCGATGGTTGGTTATGGGGAGAGATCTCTGAGGGAGGGATTCAACACGTCTGGAATTGTCTTCGACGAGAATGAATGGCCCTGCCGCAATATAAACTGGATAACCATGGCTTGACTCTGTAAGGGGTTGGCGTCAATATCTCGTCCATATCCGGCCTGTTGACATCCCTTTCCTCTCGCGTGACAACTAGTAAACAGTCCCAACGCCTAACACGACTTGGGCTGAATTACAATCGCGCCGCTGCAGGTGTCCTTCAATCTTGTTGCTTTTGAGATGGCATAGGGTCGGCGCCAGGCGTGAAACAAGCCTCGTAGACGCCACAGGGGCAGTTGGGCAGGCAGCGAGCCCGTGATAGGCGTGGATGCGGCTCACACTCAAGGGCTATCGACATGGTGCGTTGGATAAGGGGACCATCTCGCGAGGCTAGGGGCGGGTAGCTGCTCGTATTCGCATGTCCACCCCGTAAGTTGCAGGTGATGGTGATGATAGTGCAGCTTGGCAGATTTCAACCGGCGAACTTCTAGAAGCCGGTTTCCCCAAAGGCCGACTGGATTGACATGGTGATTGCCCCTGTCAAGATTGACCGACTTGCTTCTTTAGCGGGCATGAGACACCTGGTTGGGTTGTTAATCGGATTCTCATCGTCCTCCCTGCCTGCGGTCCTCCTTTAACACGCAATGACCCCTTGGACTTACAGTATCTCCTATGTACTTCCGAGTACCTACTCAGCTTGAGTGCTGCTATTCCATTAGCGTCCACGCCTAAACATCTGTCACGCTAGGCCATTGGTATCGAGATTGACGTTGTGCAGCGCCTGTAAGTCTTCTGTCGATCATTGGCGTGTCTAACCGGCATACCTACAGAAACACTGTTCGAACTACGAGGTAGAGTATTTGAATGTTGTCTCAGCCACAAATTGGTCCACCAAGGAACGCTTCCAGCAAGTCTACTCGTAGTCATGCGCAGTCCGGCCCGAAACCTCGCTTCTCCTCGTTTCCTCCAGGCTATTCGTCCTAGCCCCTACCAGACGCCGTTTTCCCCCTCATACACCGTTTCCCGCGGATCATCCATCCACAGCCTGAACGGTTCTCCTACTTGTACTCAATTTCCCCTTAAACTTCCACATCACCAGCTTAGAACCCCAGCACCCAAGAACGTTCTAGCCTTGTCGCTTGTATCCCACTATTGCACAACCGGAAAAAGGATGACCACGGCCACTTCGCAAGAGGAGAAACCATGGCACGCCCAATTCCCCGCTCCGAGGGAAACAGCTCCAAAGGCCATCTCGCGTGAAGACTTGTTGGAACGCTTCCGGCAGGGCCAGAGGGGAGGGAGGGATTTCCTGCTCGTGGACCTCAGGAGGAATGATCATGCTGTAGGGACCTCGCTTTTCTTTTTGCCCTCTGTTCTTCGCGATGTTGGCGGCTTCGTTTTCCGGCGGGTGGATGAAAGGTAAGAATAATACAAGGTGGAAAAAGGGGGTCCAGGTTGAGGAAAGAATCCATCTGCTGGCCTGGTAATATGACCAGACACAAAGCACATTGCTTCTTTGATCAGCCAAAAGGACACACCACACTCAAGCCTCAGCCCACCGCCCATGAGATGACGGCGTACAAGTCACACAAAACTATCACTGTGCAAAAGGGGGGGCGGGGGAGAAAGCAAACCACGATCTGAAGATGGACTAATACATCCACTCCAGCCGCATCCTCGTCTATTCAGCGTCACCCTGCCTGGCCCATTCACACCTCACTCCCGTCATCTTCACCTTCTTCAATCCATTCTAGAGCATAGCAAACACTAACTCTACCACCCACCACTGCAGGGCGGCACCATCAAACACTCCATAAACCTGCCCGCACAGACACTCTACCCCTCTCTCGCGACACTGTACAATTTGTCCACCGCCGCCAACATCCCCCTGGTGATCTTCTACTGTGGCAGCTCCGGCGGCCGTGGAACCAGAGCCGCCGGCTGGTTGGCAGATTACATCGCCGACCAGGGTCAGCAGGCGACAACGGCGCTCCAGAGTGTCATCCTGAAAGGTGGGATCAAGGGCTGGGTGGCCGGTGGGGAGGAGTTCGCGCAGTGGATGGACGGGTTTGAAGCGGAAGCCTGGAAAAAGGGAGACGGGCAGTGAGGACGGACGCGGAAAGTGCCTCGTACATATAATATTATGTATATATTTAGCTGCGCATGCATTTACATTACGCAGACCCTTCATCCTCGGATGTCGTGTCCAGCGAGTGCTGTTGACAATGCCACCTCCCTGCCCTCGGCATTCATATCCACGCTGACACTTATACGTCTCTCATTCTCATGTAGTAGTTACATGACTACCTACCTAAGTCATACTGAGTCTTTGTACGCCCTTTTCCCTGGGATATCATAGTTGCCCCCCCCCCCTCTGCTCATCCCAAACCTCGTCAACCTCCAACCCCACAAGCCAACCCAACACGCGCTGCAAACTGAACAAACTCCGCGCCCTCCAACCCCCGACTCTTGACATGTCCCTCTTCGATCTCTACGAGCACCCGGTTTTCCCAATAGATGCTCGCGACAGCTGAACTCCCACATGGCGCGGAGCAGAAGGGCGAGCCGGTGCTGGAACTCGGCGCGGGGGTATTTCTCGACCAGGCGCTCGAGGCGGCGGGTCTGGGACGCGGCGGCGGTGGACGAGTCTCCCCCAGCGGCGGAGAATTCTTGTAGCGTGTCGAGGCGCAGTTGGGTCCAGGATGGGTGTTCGATGTTTCTGAGACACTCGGCGGGGGGTGAGCGGAAGAGGTTGTTGAATGCCTCGGCCTCCTCTTCTGCTGTTTCCTCATGGTCGTGGTTATCATACGAAGCTGGATGAGCGTCCCCTTCGCCATTGAGCGACGTGTCGAGATCGCCGAGGTAGCCCCATGCAAAGCAGTCCGCGAGTCTCGGGAGACACTCTACCGACCCACCCCCTCGGCTGCGCAGTCGCAGCGATTCGAGACTCGCCTGCAACATGAATTCGCAGGCGACGTCCATCCAGAAGTCGTCCGGCCCTTGCCTCACAACGTCGACAAAGGATGCGGAAATGGCCATGAAGCGCGGCAGGAGCGGCGACAGGAGCGAGGGATTTGAAGGAAGAGCTGTTGGCGGTGAGGCTGATGGCGCGTGAGGTAGTCTGGTCGTGTCCCAGGTGCTGTATATCTGCTGCTCTAGATTCCAGGCCCGCTCCTTGTCAGCTTCTTCGGCCGCTGTATAATCATTGTGGATCCCAACGTGGGAATCTCTCTCACGCCTGGCGAGCCATCTTCGACGATCCTTCAGATCGCTCATTGTGCGGTTGTAAACCCCCGACGAGTTTGCGGAGGAACGACCCGTGGCGATGACCTGAGTGCGGCGATATAACAGCAAGACGAGGAACTCTAGGATCTGTAGCCTATAATTGAACTCGGCCGACTGCTCGTAGCAAGGATGGTGGTGGTTGAAGACCTTGAGGAAGCCGTCGAAGATGACAAGCATTCGCTGCTGCGGTCCGTACATTGCCTTGTCGTCATCGTCCTCGTGGTCGTGTTGACATTGTCCTTCACACAGGGCCTCCAAGTGAGCCTCGACGGCCCGGAACAGAGTATACTCCAACACCATGAGGTCGACGTCGAGCTGCAACTCCGGGTCTGCACAGCGAGTGTCCATTTGTGCTGGATATCGGACGTCGTCTATCATTGTACCAAACTCCCGTTTCCCCCAACCAATCGAACGGCGATATATCCTCCGATCCTCCTCGAGGGTTTAGTTGGAATTGGGAAATAGTAAATCAAACAAGTCAGGTGTCATGCACCAAGGGTGTATCGCTTTCTTTTTTCTAAAAAAAAAATAAAAAAAATTGTCTCCCTCACGAGCTGCAACGCTTTTATGTATGTATGTGCAGAGTCACAGAGCTCCGTCACTGGAGATCGACCAGGAGAGAGCGCAGCAAGCAGCAAGCAGCAACAACAAGGGGGGCGATGATCCCTGCGTCATCACCGTGTTTCGGCGGCAACCTTGATGGCAACGGGACAGGGCGTCAGTGCTCGTGAATCGACGATCCATTGCTTTCTGGTTCGTCGACGATATATCTGAAGTGTCACTGTTTCGAGAGAGAAAAAGGCCAGACACAGACCGGGAAGAGGCGGGAAAAATGTGTCTGTGTGTGAGAGGGAGAAGAGCCTCGCTAGTGACCTCGCTTCGGGGTCGGTGTTGGCATTTTGTCTTCACCGCAACTTATGCGAGATACATAGACACTTAGACAGCAATCAACTTAGAAAATAAGTAGGTTAGGTCAAAAAGACTTGATGCGAAAAGCGTCCATATGAAAGATAATCCCACAGTGGGTTCAGTATCTCGCTCAAAAACACCGTCGCTATGCATCCACGCCCCTGGGTATAATCTATGTCTATGCACTTCATGGTGACGGCCTCTAGACACTCGATGCAATTAATTCGTGAAATTCGTCTCCCATCTCGTCATCTTTTCTTTCCTTTCGCGCCCTTGACACCTTTGACCTGAGTCACTGGAGCGGCGTGGTTTTTCTCCTTGATGTGGTTGAACAAGCGCGTCTTGGACGGAAACTCGGCCTTGCAGACGACACACTGAAACTCTGCTGCAGCCCTGTCGGATTGTTCTGCCGCCTTCTGTGCTGCCCTCTTTGCCTTTTTTTGCTTGGCCTTACCAATCTTGGGTTGTGCGAGCGTCTCAGGATCGGATGTGAGAGGAGTGCCCGAGAGACTGACGTCGTCAAATGCTGCAGAAATTTTCTCCAAATGTTCTTCACCTAAGCGTCGCTCAATCTCTGATCGGGGAGCGTAATCGTCATCCTCTGAAGCCTCAGATGACTCGTGGCTATCCACCGTTCCTGCTAGATCTGTTTGCCGTTGATGTACCTCGGCGTCGCCTGGCTCGGTTTCAGCAATATCAGTCTTCGGAGAGGTTGACTTGGCTTGCTCATTGTGGAATTCGTCTCCATCAGCTGCCGTGGCGTCGCGGTCGCGTGCTGTATGACCATTTTCCAGCTCCAACTCTACACCCTCCTGGCGCATCTCCTTCTTCAGCTGTTTTAATAACTTGATATGCTTTTTGCTCTTCTCGTGAGCCTTGAATTGGGCCTCGCTCTTGAAAGTCTTGTCGCAGACCACGCAGTCATACTCGTGTTCCTCCAACTCAGACTCACTCGAGAACCCGCCTTCATATTCGTCTTTCGACCTGGATTTGGCCCACTCTGCTATTGCCTCGGCGCCAGTTTCCTGGAGCTTCGCTTGTTGCGCTGCCCTTGATCGTGCAGCCTGTGCTGCAGTCGCCTCTCGGAGAGCCTTTTGCCGTTCAGCTTCCGACTTCTGGTTGTTTTGAACGCGAGGATCTCGTTTCCGAATAAAAGCAACCAAAGAGCGGACGGCTTCGTTGAACTCCTGAACGGCATCGTCCCGGATCTTCTTGTTTTCCTTCTCCATTAAGCGCCTTATTCGCCTGTCCGGCGCATCTGATAATCTGTATTGATCTTTCCAAGAATAGCTCTTCTTGGTTGCAAACCCGTTCCACGCCGCGTAGAATGGGCGAACCACGTCCTCATAATCATCGTCCTTGAGCCCGAACTCGGGGTAATCCATTGGGTCTTCGTCCTCCCACTGACAAGCAATGTCCTCCTCTTTCGCAAGCTGCTTGAAGAAGTCGTTCAATCCGCCATAAAAGCCACTCGGAGCATTGGTATATTCCAATCGGCCATTAAACTTCATCATCAATTTTAACACCTCCTCCGTGGTTGTCATGCGCATATTGTAGAAGAACTCATCTGACGTCGGGCCAGTAGCCTGGTCGCCGCGCAGAAGGATGTCTCTGTGCGAGTCGTACCACGCACGTTCCTGAGGGTCGGAGAGGACTTCGTAGGCAGACTGGATCTCGGCGAACAGTCTCGTGGTCTCTTCGACATTGCCATAATTTCGATCCGGGTGCAGTTCGAGGGCCTTTCGCCGGTATGCCTTTTTGAGGTCATCGTCGGTCGCAGTTCTTTCGACACCGAGCAGATCATAGTAGTCAGCTTTGGCCGGAACCTGGTCCTGGGCAGCGCTGTCCGAGGACTGTCGTTGACCCATGGCTGAGGCAATGGATGTTTGTCCCGGTCCAAAAGAGCGGTTCAATAGACAATCCACTCAAAATTGACGAGCATCATCCCGCAACGCCGTAGCGCCTCCACAGCCGACAGAGGTTACAACACCAACCACGGAGAAATATGGCGGTGAAACTGTTGGAATGGATCTCGAGCCTTGTGAGCCCCAGTAGTCAAGAATTGCTGCGCCATTTACGAATTATTCTAGCCTCGCCTAAAAAGTCCCGCCCAGCCCGCCTTGCCTAAAGTTCGAGGCTGAACCAACCAAGAAGAACCAAGGCTAACGAAGAGTCACGTGGAGGCACGTCCCAGCCAATTGACATCCTCCTCCGCGAAAATTCTGACGTGGATTTTGGTTCCTTGAATTTGCTGGTCGTAAGAGGCGCAGTTTCTGCTGTCATCTGTCACCGGGTAGCAGCCTATGGGATGAAATTCTCGTCTCTCTCTCCACGGTTCCCATTTCCGACAACTCCCATTTATCGCGCGTGGCCATTTTCGCCATCTGGGGTTCCCGGAAGCAAAAGGCATATTAAAGTCACCCGCCCCCCACGAAGATGAGGCCCACGCCCAAAGATGGAAAATAAGCACGCGACGACCTTGAACATCCTGCTACTCGTTTCTCCACAGGGCTCATTCTATTCTATCTCTTCTTCACCATCTCTCATAAATGCTTCACGATGAAGTTCGGTCAGGACTTTGAAGCTGCGCTTGCACGCGGCGAATATCCCCCAGAGTGGGTGAATTCTGCAATCTCCTATAAGAAGCTCAAGAAATGCATCAAGCGAGTGCAACAAGAACTTCTGAGCCTCGGGCTGGATAAGGAAACCCTCGATGCCCTGTGGAAACACGTTGGCTCAGGTGACTCTGATGCCGACGGAAGAATAAGCGATGGTTTGCTGCAGTATACAGTCGAGGATGGCGAGACAGTCAACTTCACGCCCAAGCTGACAATTGTTGTTGACCCTCATGATGGCTCTCCTTTGGATGCATGGCTGAGTCCCGATACGCGGAGGATCTTACGACGCCTTGCTAGATCATCAAACCCTAGCATTGATCATAATCAACGCCAGGACGAATCTCCTCACGGGAGAACCAGATTATACAACCACCGGAACAGCGAGAGTGGGCAATCATTGGATAATGAGGACGGTCACCCTTTGAACACAGTTGAAGTTCCTCTGACCGCAGATTCAGAATTCTTTCAGACACTCCGCCGAGAATTGGCATGTCTAGATGACCTTCAACAAGCCGAGTACGCCCGCCTCAAGGAGGAGATCGCTCGACTAGGCACTCAACTCCGTGCTCTGCGAGCTAGCAAGTCAAGACGATCCAAAAAGGAGGTCGAAGCATGGCGGAGGATCTTTGAACTCTATACTGATGCCGAGGTCTTCCTATCCTCTCATGAGGCTGACGCAGGGGCTCGAGATGCTACACATGCTCAAAACCAGTTCCAAGTCTTCAATGACTCCCTGGCCGCGCACCAAAAGAAGACTGTTGTAAAGCTCGGACAGGAAGCCAACGTGGCTTTGTCTCGATTCCTCCAGATCAACGTCAACCTTTTGCGGCTGATCAGATTCCAAGAAATCAATCGCACTGCTCTTAACAAGATTATGAAGAAGTTCGATAAGCGCACGGCTTTGCATGCGAAATCCTCTGTGGCACGATCACTCACAAAAACCTCTCCGTTCATGGTTGAAGATTTGGCAAAGGCCACATGCTTTACCATTTCCGAGGAAGTGTTGAGCATCATCCCGCAGCTCAACGATTACTTGTGTCCGATATGCTTCAGCATCTCATGGAAGCCCGTCAAATTACGTTGCGGCCACCTGTTTTGCATCAGGTGTATGGTTGTCCTACAAAGGGAGGAGAAAGATCATTGCCCTCTATGTCGAGAGGAGGTTGTCATGGAAGCGACTGAAAGTAAGTTGTTCCCCATCCAGATGGAAAAATGTTAGGGATGGATGATCTAATTCTTTCTGTTAGAGAATATCGACCAGGCACTAGTCAAATTTCTCAAATCCAATTTCAAAACCGATGTGAGGGAGAAGCAAAGGCAAAACGAGATTGCAGCGGGAATCGATCAGTGGGGAGCTGCTTATGAGCATGCGCAAATGCAGAAATGCATTGTCATGTGAGGCAGAACTTGGCCGCCCACTGTGCGCTATACCCCTCTTTCAAACCCTCATCAGCCAGCGATGAAGTATACGAGCAGTTGATGATAATCATAATGGTTTTATAACACATCGCCTGGAGCAATCTGGCAGAACCGTCTCCTATGACACCTCCGACTGTCACCCTCTCTCCTAGCAGAACACGAATTCCAGCTCCAGCGAGAGACCTTTCATTGCCCAACCAATGAGTCACAGTTTACCGACCAGCCATCTCACTCGACTCCTGTGCACCTCCCTTGTCTCCCACGCATGGCGATCTGTCTCTCGTCTCGTTTTGCTTTTAACGTCAAGTGGATCAATGCACGAAGCTGATCCTCTTAAATCTGTCTTTGGCTCGATGGCAAGGGTCCATCGCAAGGCGGACATTCATTGCGCCTTGAATGTCTGTCGCTCGCTACGAGGTCTGTCCTGTTGTCATCCATCGCGATCACGCCCGTCTAGCGAAATGCATGCGCCGGCACCTCAGCACCAATTGTCTCACAGGATAATCTGTTTCAGCTGACAACCCCTGTCAAATCGCTGAACCCCACGTCCGCCAACCAACGAGAAGACCTAATGTTCAATAATTGCGGTCAGCCTTGTGGTCGCCTTGAGAAATTCTACAGCACGTAGTTAGTTGTGCTTATCGGGACTGGTTGACTGCTTCTAGCATAACTATTCGCGCACTTTGGCAGGACTTGCTCAAATGAAGTTTTGAGCGAGCTCCTATTCTACAGATATTTTGTCAAGAGCAAATCCTATAGAGCGATGACAGAACTTCTCGAATTCAGCATTCCTTCCTCGAGTCTCTTAGCCGGCAGCCTGCCCGGTGCACCCATCCCAGCACTTCAGCCTCGCATCGTCCTCCATGACATCCTCCGAACTACCTGAGCAGGAACTCTATAAAGGCAGATATGGAGACCTGAACCCTCACACTGTCGGCGATGTATTGCAACGCCTTTCTGATCGACCCAGACAGAAGTACAGCGAAGAGTTGGATCTCTGTCTTTCAGTGATTCATGCACATATTGCCGAGTTACGTGCGAAGCTTGTGCAGCAGCTAAAATCATTGGAGCAAATGGTACTGCCTCGATTGGGATTGACAAGTACAGGGAGTCGCTATATCAGAGATCTACCTCCGATATCATCTGACTTCTTATCATGGCCTGTGGGCTATTCGCAGCTATCTTAGATCAGAAGCAGAACGCTCTACTACCTGGCCGGCGTTTGTCGAGAAGTTGCGCGGATGCATTGAACAAGCTATTATATATGCAGAAAGGCTTCACTCCGAGCTGTGTCAAATTTCAGACAAGCCGCCATGTTGGACAGAACTTCAAGAGGATATTCTTTCACTTGTCGGCACCCTCAAAGATGTCCCAGGGGTTGTGGACGAGACGGAGACGGAGATTTCAGTCGTTGATGCGGAAAATGGTACGACTTGACATGCTCGAACATCGTCATTCGCTGACTGTTTCAGAGAAGCTCAACCAAAGCCAGGAACTGTCGAAGGCACATTCCAACACTGCTGACTCTCTGAGTAGCAAAGCGAAGATATCAGCAAAGTCAAGAGAGTGGGACTTGGAGGGGTAGGTACACGTTTAAAATCAGCTGCACGGGGCGCGCTGCGGAAAGCCACTACACGTCTTCATTCTTTCTCGTACGGGCTCGGAGATCAACGAAAGGCTTATGGGATTGTCTCCTTCTTCGCCATTGTCGGCTTGGCCTCGACTATACTGTCTGTTTGAAAATGCACTCCCTCGGCGATCCCAGTTCAGATTGATAGCAATTTCTGGTCCACATTCAGCCAGACCGTCGTCAGCTTTGCAGGACTGTACACCATCATAATACCAATACTTCGAAAGGCAAACATCAACCCCAGCAACGAAGTCGCATTTTACAGCATGCTGGTTTCCAGCCTGGTCACTGCAGCGTTGGGGATTATTGTTTACCACTTTCAAACCCGCACGAGCTTGATTCTCAACTTCCTGTCTAGTATTGCACAACTGTTTGCCACGTTGCAGCTGGTTGAAGATGCAGGGAAACAGATTACCACCCAGCACATGGAGATTAGCCATCAACGATCCGAGATTGGCTTTCTTGAGAGGGAGGTCGTCGACTTGAGAGCAGCTTTGGACAACGGCAGTCCGGCCCGCTAGAAAAGGGCTTCTTGAGAGTCGAGAGGCAGGTGTAAGAACCCTTGGGACTAAGCCTTCTTGCGCGATAGAATCTTATACATTGGGGAGCACATCTGCATGGGATGAGTGCTTCCACGAACCCGCGACACTTGTAGGGGAGGATGGTTAATGAAAAGGAAGGGAAGCTAGGGGACGAAGTTGTGGACGGAGAGAGAAACACGGGGCAGGCTGAGCTGTTTCAGGGGTTTCCGAGTCCTATATGATCCGTTCTCTACAATGGTTGAGCCCAAGCTGAGTCCCCTGGTTCTTACAATGATGGCGTTCGTTGAATACCCAGTTATCAATCTGGTCTTGACGGACACCTTTTCTGGACTCGTTATTCTCTCTCTCTCTCTCTTCTGCCTGCACAGCCTTTGTATTATTGTTATAGCGTATTGAGCTGCCCGGAAAAATAGCCAGTGACCTGATCTGACTCTACATTTCTGGGGACGGGGTTTTTAAATTACATACGTGTCTGGAACTCAACTCGACGTCGTCTAGTACGTTGCCCGTATCGCTTCCCTTTTTACGAATCTTTGCCTATCTGGTATACATACTTGACGGCATGGGCCTGGCCCTTGGAAAGCCTCGTCAGACCGTCGGCAAGACCGTCCAGTCCACCCGGGATAACCTCGTGCGGGTGCGGCTTAAACCAGCCCTCGTGAAGCCCGAGGGCCATGTATCGAAACATGATGTAGCCAAAGTGCTTGTCGGAGCCGTGCACGGAGCCCACGACGGTCCAGAAAGCCTCGACCCCTTCTGAGACGGCGGGGTCCATCTTTGGTCGCGTCATGCCCTCGATGCTCATCCCGGGCGTGCGCGGGATCTTTGTGCGATCGTTGAACCCGACCGAGGCCAGCTTCGCGTTCGCGGAGGGGAGCACGGACCCAAGGACCTTGTCGCTGCCGTTGCCGGCGATGGCATCGAAAGCATGCAGCAACGGCTTTCCGCCCAGGGCTTTCTTGACCTCAGCCACCACGACCTCAAGCCCCAAGCGGTAGTCGATGACGGTGTCGCCCTTGGAGCGGTCGATGAGCGTCTCGACGTGGTCCTTGGACTGGCCGGCGATGCAGATGATGGGGTGGAGATTGCTTTTCCGGGCGAGCTGGACGGCGAAGCTGCCCACCGCGGCCCCCGCGCCGTAGACGACCAGTGCGGGCCTTTCAGCCTCGGGCAGCCTCTCGTCCGTGATCCAGGGGTACGGGAGCTCCAAGTCCTGGTACAGGCCGAGTGCGGCCGTCATGGCCGCGAGCGGCACCGTGGCGCCCTGCTCGAAGGGTACTTCACGCGGGAGATGGAACGTCGTGTGGGCGTAGGCGACGGCGTACTCGGCAAAGGACCCGTGAGGCGTGAACATTTCGTGGAAGGCGGCGACGCGGTCGCCCGGGCGGAACTCGAAGACGCCAGACCCCACGGACTCGACGTAGCCCGCGATGTCGTCGCCAAAGTTTTGGGGTGGTTGGAAGAACGGGGCCTTGAAGTCCTTGGGGTTGGAGCCGCTGACGACCACGCGTATCAGGACCTGGCCGGCCCGCGGGACGGGCATGGGGGAGTCGACGATCTCGACCCGAGGTCCTGAGAGAGAAGGGGGGGAAATAGTTGGCTTTCTGACGTTTTGTTGCATACGTAGAGTTGGGACACTGGGCCTTACCTGGATAGATAATTGCTTCCTTCATGTTGGCGGCAGCGTCGTTCACGATCAAGACGTCTCGCCGTGGTTGACTCGTAAAGGCTTTATTGTGCCATGGGATGGAAGTGAGACTTCACCCCGGATCATATATTCACTAGTTCCACCACCACCGGGGGATCTTCAGCGGTTCTTAAACACCCCGAGCACTACCCACCTAAGACAAGATCTGGGGCTTCTTGGCCCAGCTCATCGAAGCCGTTTATGGTACTGTGTGGGAGCAGAGCAGTAGAGTCACACCACAAGTATGGAGCTTGATTGGGTGCTGTGCATAAAGGTTGACCGTACAAGCACCTAAACAAACTTTTACTCACAAGAGTCTGTACTTAGTGGTGTTTGAATAGGCTCCTTAGAGAGGGACGATGCTGGGTTTATGCACAAATGGCACAATCGACTCGGTGCACAAAGTTTGACTCCCGGACAAGCGAGATTCCCGAGGTCAATGGAGTCCCTTGATTAAGCCCCAAGATTTTTCTAAGAAATCAAATCGTCGAAGTCGGGGATGTCGAGTTCTGATTGCAAACAAAAGCACTGCTCTGCCGGTCGGACTCGAGATGATGTATTAATACCTACCGAGTACCTAGCAACCATTTGGATCAGGATCCACTCCTCCTTGCCTCCGGGGCTCTTGTGGGCCGTGCGCGGACAATAGAGGGACACATCCGTGGAAGATCGGATCAGAGCGAGAATACACGGTCGACGATAGCTCCGTTCTTCCACTCATGCCATTAGTACATCCAGCTTCTGGACGAGACAAGCCCAGCTGTCAGGCGGTTACGTTCCAAAAGTCGACGAAATACTTACAGTGAAGCTGATGGATAGCCAATAAGTAGTCGTTCCGTCGCCGCTTCCGGTGGAAGCAATTTGTCAGGTTCCGTCAAGGACTCGGTATCTGGGTCGCTCTGAGATACTGAGATACTACATCACCTGTGTTTACCATAGGCTTACAGTGATGTCTTTAAAGGTAGGTCCAGCTCCCGTTCTAGCTGCTTTCGAAGTCCTAGAAGAGGTGTTTGGTAAGATATACCCGCACGTTTTGTACGCATACACTTTGAACCGATCCGCCAAAACATGCCACCTGCAAAGACTGTTCTGGTGACAGGCGCCAACGGCGTCATCGGCCAAGGCGTATGTCGGGCATTCTCTCAGGCAGGCTGGACGACGTACGGCCTCATTCGAAGTGCACGAAGCGCTCCGGACTTGGTCCGTGAAGAAATCATTCCGATCGTGGGATCTGCTGCCAACTACTCGTCCTTTTTGGATTCTCTGCCCTCGATTGATGTCCTCGTGTCTTGTTCTGAAGACATCAAGAACTACAAAGCTCATTTTGACGATGTGCTGGCTATGTTTTTGGGCATCAGCTCCGCCTCTCTTCGCCAGGGTGGCTCGAAGCCGCTTGTCATCTTCAGCAGCGGGTGCAAGGACTACGGCACAACTGCACGGCACGGCGACCCCACTCTTGCGCCGCACACAGAGGACAGTCCCCTCAACCCTCCGGCGCTATTGGCGAATCGCACACAGTGCGCGATGAGTATGTTCAGTCACACCGAAGCATTCGATGCCGTGATTACGAGGCCCACCACCATCTTCGGGCGTTGGGGGAGCTGGTATGCTGTATTTTTCATGTTGGCTGAAGCTGCCAAAGCTGCAGGTCACAACAGCTTTATGCTTTATTCAACGCCCAACGCGATTTTGCATGGTGCACACGTCGACGACGTGGGAAGGGCGTACGTCGCGATCGCCGAAGCCCCCCGGCAGGTGGTGGCCGGACAGGTCTATAATGTCTCTGCCCACTCTTATGAGACGCTTGCCGATATAGCCACAGCAGTGGAAAAGAGCCACGGCGTGAAAGTCGTCTATGCTGATCCCGGACCAGATGACGACAAGGAATTTGGCGTCAACTCGGTTTTCAATTTCTCCCAGTGGGTCGACTCGACCAAGCTCAGAAGCCACACTGGTTGGCTGGACCGGAAGCCGCTGTTTCACGAGGCGTACGATGTGTACAGAAGGGCGTGTGAACAGGCCAAGGCAGACAAGAGTGATCAGTTTGTGAGGTACAAGGAGTACCTTTCTTTTCTGAAGGATCCGAGGTATATTTTCGATCTGGAGGGTTAGATGGGCCGCAGGGATGGAGCCACAAAGTGTTGGATACTTATTCCTTATGGGTGACGACCTATTTATTCATATCATCCATATAGATCGGTAACAGTCGACCCAGCCCGATCCCTGGCCGGCATCTTCAACTCCAACTTGAATGCGCTTTCGAGTAAAACCATCCAGGGACGCGCCAAACACTGTTGTACTGACAATGTCAAGTGAAGCAGCATTATCAAGCGAGAACCAAAGCAGCAAGTAGCCACATCAGCCATTCATTGCTCTATCAGCATCGGATGCCCAACTTTTGCCGGTCCGTCAATGTCCAATCGTGGTTAGCGGCCAATCACTTGGGAGGCTCCGCCCTAAAACTTCCCAATACGGTTATTATGACGACATGCGAGGGTCCTGGCTCTGCACATCGCTGTGATCAACATTCAGTGTAACGATGGACGCAATCTACACCTGGGACCCTTATTCCTCTGTTCGCTGATGCCATATCATATATGCAGACCCTGTCCCCCCCCACAACTACAGAGGAGATCATGCTCCCAACAACAACGCGCTTCAGTGTTTCGCAACCAATACCGCCATCGATGTTGCGGCATAAAACTGTCGCCCTTCATCGGCTCCGCGCTGAAAGCGTCCAGCGTGCACCATGGGTGTGCAAGATTTCATCCGCTTCGACCTAGACGAATACCGGGCCAAAGTGCGCAACTATGATGATCAGGAACTGCAAAAGAAAGAGGTGGTCTTGATTCGCACCGCATACTCGGGCACGGCGGGGATTGTCAGCGGCGCCGTCCTGGCTCCTTCGACAGGAGGTGCTTCGATGATAGGCTGCGTGGCTGCAGGCAGGACAATACACCTTGTCGAACAGAAACTTGAGGTTGTTCGAGCCGAATTGACCAGACGCGGCTTGCCCCTGCACGAGAAGAGGACCCGAGACCATGCAATTCCCGTGACCACCGGCAGCATAGCTGGAGCCATGGGCTTGGGTATGGGCATGGAAGGACACATGCTGGGAACAGCAGCCGCCGCCGGAGCCAATCTCGTTGCGGTCACTACAGAAAAGCTGGACCGTGTCCAGACAGCTCCGAGCCGCCCGAGTCCTCAAGGTGCGAACAGCTTCCAGCGCCTCAAGAGATCCCTGACGGAGAACGTCACCTCACGCTCTCGATCCCTCCTACACCCCTTTTCATCCGAAGACACGGACCTATTCCACCAATACGACGACTTGGTCGCCCGCAAGAAATCACTCGAGGAACGCTACCAGAAGCTCCGCGAAGCGACTCTGGCGGCTGCGGGCGCAAAATGGTACTGGTACGTAGTCTACCACTACCCCTGTCAATCAGAAAACCTCATAATACCGACCAATCCAGGCTTATGGATCGACTCCCTTCGCCGTAAAGACAGCCTTGGTCAATGGGACAAAACCATTGAGCGGTGCACGCGTCGCCGTGCCGACGAAGGTCTGATACGTTTCCGAAAAGATCTCGACGAGACCAAAAAGCGCCTGGATGAGTGGGACGTGATGGTTGTGAAAGTAAGCGTTCGGTGTTGTTTCCCCTCGAGGTGGAAGATGTCTACTCACTTTGTTCAGTGTCTCCCACCGGGACCAATTGCTGCACCTGACGCCAGAGCAGAGATGCTTGTGGTGGTGAATCGCGGTATTACCATGTGTCTACTCCCTCTGGTGTGTTACTGGATACTGAGGCTCTCCTGGATCAGGCTGGCATACCGACTGCTCGTCATCGTGCTCCTGGCATTTGGTGTCCATGCGCGCATCTTGTGGGACTACGAGATGTACCCCTTCCTCCCAATGCCAATCACGAAGATATGACGTACATTTTTACTTGTACTTTAATTCCCTATCCCACCAGCTCGCAGCATCCCATTGATTGTCAGGGGAAGAGGCAACAAGCTCAAGCCGTGCCCTCCAGCGCGTCGACAATGTCCTTGACCACAATCTTCTTCATCTCCATGACCGCCTTCATGGTCTTTTGCATCCTCTCCGCGTTGCCCGAAGTCATGACTTCCTCTACCAGCCTAGGCACGACCTGCCAGTGCACGCCGAACCGGTCCTTGACCCAGCCACAGATCTGCTTGGACTCGTCTATTTCCGCCCCGTCGTCCCCAGCCTCGGTCAGCTTGCCCCAGAAGTAGTCCACGTCCTCCTGGCCCTCGCAGATGATCTGGAAACTGACTGACTCGTTCATCGGGATGTCCTTGGGCTTGGAGTTGAGCGCGAGCCACGTCATGCCGTTGAGGGTGAACTGTTGGCGTCAGTGGTGGGCCTTGTTTGACTCGGATAGTCTCGTGGAAGATGGAGGGAGAGGGATAGTCTTACGGCAACACTCATGACGGAACCAATCAGATGCTTCTGGAAGTCATGACCCGTGTCGGTGAAGTGGTTGATGGTGTCGATGGAGGAGTTGGGGAAGATGGACGTATAGAACCGCGCAGCCTGTTCGGCCTGGGATTCGAAGAAGAGGCACGGGTACAGCGAGATGGGTGCGATAGACATGTTGTGCGAGTTTTCCTCTCTTGGTCACTCAGGAGGAGTAGTCGTAGTAGTAGAGAAAGTGGATGCGTCTCTTCCAGCAGAGAATGAATGCGAAAGGATCCTTGATTTGTCAATTCGATGCAATTCACTTTTTTGGGACGGTACACTCACAGTCTCCATTTCACGAAACAGGGCTTCGACGTTCCAATGCTCCTTTATATACCCCAGATATTGAGATTCAGCACCGCAAGGCATGTCC